CATCGTTCCGGTAAGCTACCAGCCGGCTACTAGGCAAAAACAAAAATTATTATGTTTTACGCTATGAGATAAGATCGTAGGTGGAGGGGGAGGCTAAAGGGATGGGGAGGGACAAAGAAACTCACAGCAGGAACGCCACTGAGGTCGACTCCTTGCCATATCAGCAAGTGTATCCAGCCAAACGTGTTCACCGTCTTTTGGACCCCAACCAGGGAGCCGTGAAGCTCCAACTGAGGCCAGCTCCGAAGTGAGGGCCTTCATTCCTCTGGACCAAGTCATCGCTTGGCCACCTCTCCTCTTCTTCCACCCACATCCCCGGTGAGCAAACAACGCACGTCGAGGGAGTCGGTGGGCTGGCATGCGCAACACGTGGCCCAGCCATCGGAGCCTGGTGAGTGAAATGACGGTGCTGAGCGGTTCATTCCCTTTTCCTAGGCCGTAAACAAGGCGTCGAACACGCTCGTTACTCACGCGGTGTTCCCACCAGATGTGAGCCAAACTGCGAAGGCACCGATGGTCGAACGTAACCAGCCTCTTCATGTCCGCCGATCTTAGGGGCCAGGTTTCACAACCGTACAGTAAGGTCGAACGTACCGCTGCATTGTACACTCTACCCTTCAGGGCGAGAGTAATGTCGCGCCGTCGCCATAGGTGGCGAAGGTTAGCAAAAGCACTTCGAGCTTTCGCTATGCGGTTCGTGATCTCGTCTTCGATCCCAAGGGCGCTGATACAACTTCCCAGGTAATTGAATTTCTGAACGACTTCTAGCTGATCCCCACCAAGGGTCAGCACAGGGGGCGAACCCTGCCAATCCTGGAGGAACGCTTTGCACTTCGGTGGTGCAAAACAAAGCCCGAAGCGACTGACAGCCAGTGCTAATCTGTCCAGCGCGGCTTGACACGTCTGGGAGCTGTCACAGATGAGGGCAATGTCGTCTGCATACTCTAAGTCAAGGAGTCGTTCTCCTGGGAGTAGCTCCACACCTTCCAAGTCATGTCCTGTAAATGCAATCTCCATGACTTCGTCAATAGCGAAGTTGAATAGGAAAGGTGACAGCGGGCATCCTTGTCTCACACCGCTGGAGATATTGAAGGGTGGCGACAGCCTGCTGTAAGCCCTTACTCTGCCCGTGCTACGCGCATATAATGCTTGGATAATATTTACATATTTCTCGGGCACACCTTTCCTGAGTAGACAATTCCAAAGGGCACATCGATCAACCGAATCGAAGGCACCTTTGATGTCGAGGAACACGACTACGGTGGGCCGCCAATATGTGTGACGGTGCTCCAACAACTGACGCAAGGTGAAGATGTGGTCGATGCAGCCACGACCCCGACGAAACCCGGCTTGCTCCTCACGAATCTGGCTTTCACGAGCGCCAGTCAGTCTGTGGAGAATTATGGACGCGAGTAATTTGGAGGCGATGGAGATCAGACTGATTCCTCTATGGTTGCCGCATTCCGAGCGCGAGCCGCCTTTGAAGATGGGAACAATAACGGAGCGGCTCCAGTCGGTTGGGACAGTTTCCTGCTCCCACAGTTTCACTAGTAATTCATGCAAAGCATCAACAAGAGCAGAGCCTCCAAATTTGAAGAGGGCTGGAGGAAGATCATCTGGTCCCGCGGCTTTGTTCAACTTCAACAGTCCGATCTCACGCTCGACTTCTGAGCGAGAGGGTGGATCCAAAGGGACAGCCCACGGAGCGGGGCGATCAGTGACCGGCGAATCGAACAATTCTTGCCGATTAAATTGCTTTTCAAAATGCTCAGCCCAACGCTCCAGACGTTTTGACAAATTGTGGATAGGCTGTCCACTCTCGTCACGTATAGTTTCACTAACACCAGGTCTCCTGCTGCCCGTTTCCCGTATCAGACGGAATAACTTACGATGGTTGCCAAGGGCAGCGGCCACTTCCATCTCTGACGCACGATGAGACCACCAAGATTCGCGGTCTCTCTTCAGGCTAGCACGGAGTTTTGCCCGGAGCTCTTTGCGAGTTTCATTGTGCTCGCTTCCAGCCGGGATTTGCCGGCGAGCATCTATAAGTTCCAGAGACTGCGAAGAGACCCAATGTCCATGTTGTCTATTAGACATACCACATGAGGATTTGCCTGCTGCTAGTAAGGTCTGGCGAACATGTGACCAGTGACCATCAATTGTCTCCTGTGAGCGCTTGCTCAACTCGCATGTTAGCGTACTTCGATACGCATTCAGAACAGCTGGTTTTGTCAGTTGGCTGGTGTCAATACGCTCACAACGTCGTCGTGGGCGTCCGCCAAAACGCATCCGCATGTCAGCATATACAAGTGCATGATCGGTGTCCACACATGTGCTCCAAATCGAGCGACAATTCTGGATGCAGCCTCTCCAGCGGTAACTTATCGCAATGTGATCGATCTGCGTGCAAGGCTGGTTCGAGGTTGGTGGGCGCCAAGTCACCCTTCGGCGGGTGCTGTGTCGGAAATTAGTGCTCGCAAGAAATAAGCGAGCATCTTCACACAAATGAAGTAACCGCTCACCGTTATCATTACGGGAGCCTACACCGTGTTGACCGCCCAGATGCAGTTCATCAGTGGACAACTTTCCAACTTGTGCGTTCATATCCCCCGCCAGCACAACAGTGTCCGTGCTTCTTCTGTGGCGAAGGAGCTGGGTCAGTTGGCGGTAGAAGTCGTTCTTTACCGAATCATCGCTACAGTTTGTGGGCGCATAGGCAGCGATGATGAATAGACACCTGTTGGTCCCGCGTGACTTCGAAGCTTTGAACGAGCCAGCCAATCGGACCGCACACATCCGGCTACTGATTGGAATCCAATCAACCAGAGCAGCTTCAGCCCGGGGACTCAGGGCAATACCAACACCGGCTTGGCCGGTGCTCGAAGCTGCATCGTCACCGGATAGGCGCAAGGAGAAAATACTGCTTGCGTCCCCTGAAGGGGATCGCAGAGTGAGCACAGTGCTCGAGTCTTGCAGGCGAGTCTCTGATAAGCAGCAGATATCGATCGAGAGGGTCTCTAATGTTCGAGCAAGTGCTGCCTGTTGACCGATTTGTAGCAGTGTGCGTACATTGAGGCATGCCAATCTGAAGGAGGATCGAGGGCTCCAAATGGAAGCCGATGAACTGGATTGGACCGCTTGGTTGGACATGGGCTTGTCGACAGGAGAGGAGTGACGCTCCGCGTTCACGTGTGAGTTGAAATTAGAAGGTAAATGCCTAGCAAAGCATGTTGGGGGAGGGCCAAGAATCGGGGGGTTTAAAACTGGGGGGATATAAGTGAAGTTGGAATGGGACGGTAAGAGTGAAAAAGCGTAAGAGGGGGAATAAGAAGACGGGAAGGCTTGAGCAGTAGCATCCAAACCCCTATCCACCCTGCTCGATGCAGCAGATAGGGCACCGTTTATTATCCTCTGCGGTGGCCAGAGCATCAAGAAATTGTTTGAAGTGAGATTCATTGTATTGCGTGGGCAGGATACTGTCAGGTTGCCCAGGCCTAGACAGGAGAACGATTAGGGTTCTCAACCAAAGCCTTTGGTTCAAAAACCTTACCGCAAGGCAGCGGGTTTGGCGTTGGGCTACAAGGAGTCCATTTTAAGGAATAAGGAGCCACCCTCATTCCAACCCCCAACCTGGAGGACCAGGAGGCTGAGTTTGTCTGGCCTCTAACCATTGACCAATCTGGTATGAGTGACTCTGAAGGTGCAAAAGCACCACCCAGCGTAGCTCAATGGATCGCTGAGGCACACAAACCATCGCACCACGGTAAGGTCCAGCCTCATTGCGATGGGCTGTGCGCGCATATTTCGAGTAAAATGAGGGCTTGTGACAAACGGTCGCCGCCCATCAGAATTCCCGACCATGCGACAGGATGTCCGCTGTCACCTTTCTTTTTAACTTCGCTATTGATGAAGCCGTGAAAACTGCACAGTGAACACGAATTAAAAAATGTGGAGCTGCTTCCAGGCGACAGACTTCTCGACTTGGAGTATGCCGGCGATATTGCTCCTAATCGTGCTAATCAGCAAGTTGCGGGCTATGCTTTCAGAATTGCACTGGTGATCAGCTAAAAGTCATCCAGAAATTGAGATATTTGGGTTGCTATTTTAGCGTCTGTGGAATAGGAGATGAGGGTACGAATAAAACGTATAGCATAAGCTAGAGGCATTTTGCTGTGACATCATTCCCGCCCTGAAGAGCAGAATTTATAACGCATCCGTCCGTTCAACCATCCTGTACGGTTGTGAAACCTGGCTCATCAGATCGACAGACATTGAGAAATCAGCTACGTTCGACCATCGCTGATACTGTATGTTGCTTTTTCGAAAGCACGGCACAGTCAATTCCTTTCTGCTTCGGCTACGATCCTGTGACCGAAAGACCAAGGGTCACTTCAATGGGAATCACGGTCTACATTGAGATGACGTGTCGCAATCCAATCACACGTGTATCTCAGAATGACTTTCCAACCGGTCATTAACCATTTTGACAAGCGCTGCCCGTCGTGACTATAGGGGTAGATGTTTCAATTGACATCTCAATGGTGTTCGAGTGCTTGCTATCTCTACCTGATGAGATCGACTGAGTTGGAAACGCATAGTGGAGGGCGGTGTTTTCGGTTGGTCTAAGGAGGTTTCTTGGAATATGATCGTGAGCTTGCTGTCCTGGAATATAGATTCGTTGATTGTATATCACATGAAGCGTGTTGAGAAAGGGAATCATCTCTGCGAAAGTCGCCCCGACGTGTGCGTAGTGGGCTCACATTTGGGATAGTCTATCGCATCATAGCGGCGATAGCCTGTTACATTTGCTTTGACGTGAAGGGCAGAACGCGTCCACTCATTCTCGAGTTCGGACTCACCGTTTCTTTAGAGTTTTAGGTAAAGGGAATGGCTATAGATAACAGCGGTTGGATCAGAAGCTCAGTCGCCTTGACTCAATGAGGCTGAACATTGGCCTAATGCAAGCATTAATCGTAATTGGTTTTTCTCTTGTTTTTTAGACCCGATTCGTTCCGATCGGTGTGGATGCGGTTCATTGTTCCGTTCTCAAATTGCGTTGAGCGCATGTACCACTCATGAAGTCGCCAGATGTACATAAATCGGTTCTGCGTGGTGTGGATTTGGCAGATACATGTGCGGCTACGATCATGCCTGCATCCGAGCTCCAATATGTCCGTGGGATCTCGTGTGAGCGACTCGGCATCTATCAATTCCACGTACACCCACACACGCTGTTTTACATACGAGACGTTTGACCTCCGCCATCCGGCAAGACAGTTGCATCGTCAGCGCACTTTTCCAAACAACTTACATACATAGCACCACTCCAGCACCCGGATAAACAACTATCCACTAGATCATCCAATTTCTCAGAACTCGGTTCTAACACCGTCCAATGTACACAAGTTTGTAAGCGTATTTGATTAAAGAATCAAACAGATTCTATCTTAAACCAGCTAGAGGTAGGGTGCCTCGAACAAAAAACCCTCTCTCGGAACGGGTAGCCGGTGAGTATCAACTGTCCTTTCCATTCCGTCGCCATTACTAGACAAATCTAAGTATTTCAGTCTTCACTACATTTTTGTATTCTGTTCACTTATTACTATTCTGGCAACGCGAATTGTGGCAACTGGATCCAATCCACTTCGGAGCCCAGATCATAGTTGTTTAGCTGAACTGATTTGAACCGGTGCATATTCAAAAGTAAACAGCACGATAAATTCCACAACGTTGTTACTGTCACTTGTTATAATGACCAAAACAATGTGGGTTTATTACATTGCTTCACCATTTTCGCATCATAAACACGTGGATAGAGGAAGGGGATCAGAAGAGTCGAGGTGAAAACTGAGAGAGTGAGTAGAACGTTTGTTTTCGATATTAACACCTAGAAATTTCAAAATCCTACAAGAACGAGTAGAGAAGTATGTACAACACAAGTGAGAATATTCGGTGGATAAAACCAAAAGTAGTGAGCAACGAAGGGAGAGGAGATAACAAATAAGTAGAATAAACATGAGGTAAAAATAACGAGAACAGTCACAGCACAAAAGCAATATATCACTCCAACAGTGTTGTAAGACAATGAGATTGCAGTTCGTTCAAAACGAGTTGTGAGACCGCTATCTTAGATGAATGTTCACAAGTCCCAGAGAAGAGTGGTGATGGATAGCGGATTATCTTATGGTTGGCTCAGTCGTATGACTTGGGAAAAGCCGGAACGCCGAATTTGGGTCGCGGGTCGGGAACAAAAACGTTCATCCAAGGATCCACGCTCTGAACTAAGGGATGATTCGGGAGTAGTGTGCTCGAGAATGAAGGCGAAATGCAGGACATATGCGAACCTGAACTCAAGTTGAGATTGAGCGTTAAGGGCGGATGAAAAACGGGATGCGAACCGAAGCTGTCTGCCTTATTTACTTCGGCAACTGTAGATATCGTTGACAATGCATGATTGGCTGTCTGTATGTGCATTTTCGCACTGGCTCGCGTCTCATCTTCACTGACAGCATCAAATGCTTGCAATGGAGAGTTCGACGGAGTGAGATCATCTTTGAACGAAGTCAAGCTAGTTGTACTATTGCTTATGCTCGATGACTGTGACTTTCTACAATTTGCTTTGTAGCTTGCGAATAAGGACACTGATGCCTGGGTAGAGATCCAAGTGGATAAACGTCGCGACCTCCGACTGTTCACTGGAACTGCTGGCAAGTTTTGCTCGGAGTCCCGATCCACTGAGTTATTCGACGTGCTCTCTGTAAGGCTGCTTGTGCTCGAGGTGGCATTAATTTTTGGCTTCCTGTTGCTAGGTACCTGGTTCGTAGAAGCATTTCGAACAACCGGAAAATAACTCTCTAATCTCTCATTTTCAACCTCCAACTTCCTCTTCATTGCACGGCGAAGCATTCCGTGTGATGCCTGAGCGTACGACCGATACCCAGTCAAATAATCCACTATGCGAACATCGCGCAGACGACAGCGAGCTTTAGTTACCGCATCAAGGATATCCATTGCTCTGTTCACACCCGAAAAGAAGGCTCCATGGGTGCACTGCTGACCACCAGAGCTATCTACAGTCCCTTCCCCAGCGAACAACAGGCGTGGATTATCCTGTGGATGAAACAAGTACCGAAACAGTTATGCACAGTGTAGGAACCACATGGTTACAGCATGATATATCCGTGTAAAATGGAGAAAAGGAGGAATCTTACGTAAAATCGTTTTATCTAACTATTCCACCGTGTCTTCGAATGACGACTTCACTGCGGCACGTCCCGGTATCTATGTTGAGAAGTTCAAATGTGGTTTGTTGATGCGAACGCCGCTGCCGTCCATCCACCATATACAGAGAAGTGGCAGACGGGATCGTGCACATGGTCCCCTTGTCTCTTATACGATTTCCCTTGGGAATACCCTACGAATACAACCGTCTTTGGTTGAATTGCTCTCTAGATGCACGGCATTAGTGCATACCAACGGAGACGTTCGATTTCGATGCAATGCTAGTCGGTGATTACCACAGCGGCAGATTTTTTGTAACACTACAGAGGAGGCAAAATCGTATTTCACATCAAGGGTTCAGTAGTCACCGGACAAACGAAAGACTTACCCCAGATGGGAGACTGCTTGCATAGGCGTGCCGATCTGCATCGCTGCTCCCTATTTCACCGGCTGTATAGGAACCTAAGCTGAAGGGGTCCTCGGACCATCGAGTCACCGTCGTAAATATTGGTCGGGGGAGTGGATAATGACCGGGGTACATGCCAGAGAGTAGGTCCAATAGCTCCTGAACAACAGCGTCGTTCGGTCGGTTGAAAGTGTGGAGCTTCGAGCCTCCCCAAATGTGAGCCACGAGAGTGCCCACTTGTCCGTAATAGTCACAGTTCAATATGTGCAGGCGAGCCCCGGGACAAATTAACTGCGGCGTGCTTCGATCCCAAAATATATCTGATGCACGGAACTTGAGCACAACCTGAGTGGTGACATGAGAAATAGGTTTATCGCGTGAAGTTATCTAGGAAAACAAACACGGAGTGCAAAATAAGTATAGAATAACCGGAATGAATCTGTTAAGCACATTGAGGAGTCCCACACACATTCAACGCTATGCGATAAATACAGTAAAACCGCTCTAAGTTGACCGTTTTTTTAAGGTTTGATCATTCATCATGTAAACCTTATGAAACCAGAGCTCTGTCTATTGACCACTTCTGTAAGTTTTGTGTTTACTAATTTGATCATGACAATCATCAGTAAACTCTATAAGTTAATTATACGAAGGTTTACTGTGTAATGGTGGTCGAACGATCGTCTCTTCAAACACTAATATGTATGCAGCTGGATTTTTTAATGTGCGAAATTCTCCTGACACAGTCACTGCATGTTAATGCTCCGCAGAGGTTAGACGATAGAGCATGTTACTGTCTGTGTATGTATATATTTGCAAAAGTCTACGAATAGACATAATGCCATCAGAAACCATGGGATTCAAAGGAACATACAGAAATAGTAAAATAAAACACAACACAACAATGTCCATGGTTTCCTCAGAGGGCGAGATACTACCCGGTTGCCCAAGCCGAAGTAGGGTGTTGACTTAGGGGACACCACCCCGAGCCTTTGGCTGTGTATGTGCGTGCGCAATTTTCTTCCGCTTCTCAGTTTTCACGCGCTTTAGCGTTTACCTCGTAGAATGTGTCCCCAAAGATCCCCGTCCATAAATTTACTTTGACCGTTTTGTGTGAACTTTCCTTACACACGCACGCATCAACCACGCCCTTTAAACATGTGCCCACGCATTGCACTTGTCGCAATCTAGTGTGAGTCCATCCCTCATCATCATCAACAACAACAGCCATTTGAACTGATGCTTCGCTGCCATACAATCATGAGGAACTAGGAAATAAATGATAAGAAGAGGGAGATAAGGGGGATTTACCTGGAAACCTTAATGCCCTAAGCAAACATTCTGGGTCAAGGCGCCTACACCTTGTGTAGACAACATACCATCACCAACAGCTGGCTATCGTGTAAAGATAAGACGGCATCGGCGAGACAGCTTCCTTGCGGCTTTCACTGCCACGCGTCATAATCAGCCATTACTCCGCAGATAACTCAGCACCAAACATAGTTTAAACAGGCAATCCGATTAGGAGACGGCAGCAGACGCGCCACTGGTGTCGGTTGCCAGCCATGTCCTGTAAATTCTCGAGCCAAGCACAAGGCGAGTCACGTGGACTCCAGTCCGGAAGGCGAGACGGACCAACGGCACCCAGTTTGGTCGTCAGTGACCTTATTTCCAGCTGCCAAGTCAACTTCTGTCCACCTCGAGCCTTGCGCCACCCTACACCTGGCAGACTAAACAAGGCCCTCCTAGGCAAGCGGTGACCAGGCATACGTAGCATGTGCCCGAGTCAACGCAACTTATTCAGTGCTAAAAAAATGTTGAATGTCGCCATGGAAACGGGATAGGGTGGCCTTATAAGTCATCATCATCATACACGTTAGTTAGAGGTGGGGAACACCTCAGCTACTGTGCCGCAATACATAGAAAAAAGTAGGAAAAAAGCAACTGATGCAAGCTGGCTGAGCTACCGGTAACGGATGGGCATCGTTCCGGTAAGCTACCAGCCGGCTGCTGTGCACCAAAAAAAATTATTATGCAAAATTATATAAGGCTAAATAATGAGATCGTGGTTGGAGGGGGGGGGCTAAGAGGGATGGGGTGGGACAAAGAAACTCACAGCACAAACGCCACTGAGGTCGGCTCCTAGCCATATCAGCAAGTGTGTCCAACCAAACGTGTTCATCGTCTTTTGGACCCCAACCAGGGAGCCGAGACGCTCCAACCGAGGCCAGCTCAGAAGTGAGGGCCTTCATTCCTCTGGACCAAGTCATCGCTTGGCCACTCCTCTTCTTCCATCCACACCCCCGACGCGCAAACAACACACGTCGCGGAAGTCGTTGGGCTGGCATGCGTAACACGTGGCCGAGCCATCGGAGCCTGTTGCGTGAAATAACGGTGCTGAGCGGTTCATTTCCTTTTCCTGTGCCATAAACAAGGCGTCGAACACGCTCGTTGCTCACGCGGTGGTCCCACCAAATGTGAGCTAAATTACGAAGGCACCGGTGGTCGAACGTAATTAGCCTCTTCAGGTCCGCTGCTTTAAGCGGCCAGGTTTCACAACCATACAGTAGGGTCGAACGTACTGCTGCATTGTACACTCTACCCTTCAGGGCAAGAGTGATGTCGCGCCGTCGCCATAAGTGGCGAAGGTTAGCAAAAGCGCCCCGAGCTTTTGCTATACGATTCGTGATTTCATCTTCAATCCTACGGGCGCTGATACAACTTCCCAGGTAGTTGAATTTTTGAACGACTTATAGCTGATCCCCACCAAGGGTCAGCGTAGGAGGCGGTCCAGGCCTTATAAGGGACTTTTACCGATAGGTGTTGCGGGAAGATGGCTGCAGATGGTTCTATTCCAGTGGAACTTCGGTTGCTGTCAATTAAACTGGCAATTATAGAAAGAAAGTTAGCAATTGGGGTCGGGATGGGAGTAAGAAAAAGAAGTGAAAAAGGAGGAAGGGAGTCGCCAGCAGTAGCATGTTTTTGCCCATCCCCCCTGCTGTATGCAGCAGATAATGCGACACTTGACAAGCTGCGCGACGGCCGATGCAGGATGAAGTTTATGATTGAAGAAAATGTCATGGTTGTATATGGACTGATACTGCCAGGGCGCGCAGACCTAGACAGGAGGACGATTACGGTCCTCAACCAAAGGCTTTTGCACAAAACCCTGTCCGCAAGGCAACGGGAGGTGGCGATGGTTTAGTTTTACAGAAACGGGCGCCATCCCATTTCGAACCCCCAACCTGGAGGACCAGTAAACAGTTTGACTGACTTCTAACCACCACCCAGTATAGCTCAATGGGTCGAGGTACGCAAACCATTGCACCACGTTAAGGTCCAGTATCGTTGTGAATAAACCTTAGTTGGTCATCAAACAAGTCGCATACAAACCGCTGCTCACTGGAATCTAATCAATTAGCGATGGTTCAGATGCGGTGCTGAGAACGATGACTATCCCAGCCTGACCAGTGGTTGTTGCAACAGCATTTCCGGATGCGTGCACCTAATGGCGAGAGGACAAGCGGGCACAGTTACTTTAACAACACCTTGAGGGTCATTGATTCTAGTTTCGGATACCTCGATACTTAATGTGTCCAACGTGCAATTTGTTGACTTATTTGTCTGAGAGTGCGGGCGTTGAATGTCGCAGGGGACACGGGGCCGCGTGACCTTATATGCTGTTGCCGATAGGATTCCAATGGATGATGTGAAGAGATAGCTGCAGATGGTAGAACTTTAGTGATACTGCAGTTGCTGCCAACTAAGCTGGAAATTATAGAAGTTAAGTATTGGGAGTCGAAGGGGCAAAAGAGAAACGGTAAAAAAGAGGCATCAGCATTAACATGTTTTAACTTATCCGCTATGTTGTATGCAGCAGATAAGGTGAATCTTTTGGGGCTGTTCCACGGTCGATGCAAGATGTGGTCGAAGTTTGATGAAATAAGCATGGTCGTACTTGAGTTGAGGTATTTCCAGATCGACCGAACCTGTACCGGAAAACGATTAGGCTCTTCAACTAAAGCCTTTGGAGCATTGAGTTCCTTTTATCATTTCAAATAACACGATCAGAAAACGGGTGTTGCAAGACTATATCATTTCATGTTCAACATAGTAAATGATCATTGGCTGGCTTGCCAAACAACTTCATCGTGGTGCCAGCTGAGTGATTTGGGATTATCCCGCTAAAGCCAATGGTTTGGCCGCCGTGTTCCAGGAGGTATTGTTTTTTGCCTGGAAAGCGTTCTCCTTGTAAAAAGCCAGGTATGTCAGTTTAACAACACTCTGATGCATGATGTGACTCGTCACCAAATAACTTCACTGGTGGAACATAGTGTTCCAGCACCCACTTGCTGATCAAACGAAACGCATATGAATTGAGCAATCAACCATCCGCCCCCAATTGGTGCGATTCCCTGAATTCGCCCCGCGGCCTTGCGGGTAGGATATTTAGCCAAAGGCTTGGGGTGGTGTTCCACAAATCAACTCCCTACTTCGGCTCGGGCAACCGGGTATTATCACGCTCTCTGATAAAAGTATGGACTGCTGTTGTTTCTGCTCCCTACATTTACGCGACTTCATCACACACCAATTGTATATTTGTTAACAATCCTCGAAACTCGTCACCCGATTTATTAGTTCATGGATCTATTTGTGATCCCGGTTGCAACGCTAACTATGGAATTCAACCTGTGGCTCTCTTTCAACCTGATCGTCGTTCCGTCTGGCGTTATTCAACGTAAGGACACTTATGCAAATTTGAGAGCAAGCCGGTCTAACGCGAACCTGGGATTTCTGCGGATGCTAACCTCTGTTGCCTTTTCGGAACCTGATTGCAGGACCCCAAGCGTTGTGCTTACGCTGACATCGCCTATTAACCATGAAACCAGGTGTCACCTGCGTCTTTCTGAAGACCCATAGGCAGCCTCAGCGGGTTTGGCTGGTGTAGACAGCAGTAATTAGCAAGGCCGAGGCCGCACTGTTAGACTCGTTCTCAATTAATAGCCGATTATGTGCAGTTCGGCTTCGGAGTTCATGTAGAATCAACAGACGTCGCAAGGAGAGACGCAACTTGTTTGTGAACTCAGCGTACGCTCCGAATGACTGCAATAGTGGCACGGTCAAGGACAGCTTTTATCAGGAACTGCATCAGTTCTTGAGCAACGCAAACAAATCGGATGTCGTTGCCTTCGCTGGGGATTTGAATGCCCAGGTTGGTCGCCTGTTACCATTGGTGGTCACCACGCGCTCCATAAGGACCGTTTGAATGACGGAGAGATACTTCTCGCATTGTGCGAAGACAGCTGTCTATTTCTACCGAACACCAACTACAGGCATACAAGGAAACGTTATGCCAACACAAGCGTCGTCTCAAGTTGATCACTTGATAATCAGCTTTACGTGGCAGGAGAGGGTACGGAACTGCAGGTCCTTTTGGTCCATTTCCATTAACTCTGGTCATGCGCTAGTCTGCGCGAAAGTCTACATGTTTTGGAGGTCCCCCAACTACCAAGCACCGCAAGACTAATGTGGACAGATTAACTGATTCTTCGGGCTAGACGAGCTATCATTTTTCACTGGTATACACACGAAGTAGCATTCCACCGCAAGACACTGAGCAACACTGGACTCATATACAGAAAGAGAGAGGTGCATCAGCAGTACGCCGTACCGACGCTCTGCTGCCACGCAACCATCGACAGTCGCGCGTGGGCTAAGAATACTACGAGGGTCGCCCGGTCCCAATACACAGGCTCGAACCCACGACCTTCGGGTGGCAAGACAAACGCCGTGTTCTTTTGGCCACGGAGGCGGCTGTGTACAGAAAGCAATGATCACTTCCGGACAGTCAAGCTGCGGCTTAGCCCGACGAATCTTAAAGGTTTGGATTTCTGCTTGCTCTCCGGAGCTGTTCGACCGCCGCAGAGATATCCTTGCAGAATGAGATTGCAACGAGCGGCGCCGTTCTACCGATCGGCTGCTCAAGCAAAACCTGTGCAAGGATCGCAAGGCTTGGTGGTCTGAATGTACTTTGAAAATGGAGGCCGCTGCCCTCGCAAGCTTTTCCAACTCATCGATCCAGTGGCCTCAGGAAGCTTGGTGTCTGCGACGGTCTCCGATCACCAACCATCAGAGACATTTGGATTACTGAACCGAGCACTTTCATTTGCAATTCAGCTGGCCTCCACCGTCTATCTTGTTGTCCACCCTGGTTCCTCCCACTAGATCCATCCTGTGAAGAGAACGTTTACCTCGAAATTCGACGTTTAAAGTGATTCAAGGCTGCTGGCTTAGACGGACTTTCACGGAGCTTTTCAAGCACGACAAAATCTTAATCCTCAACCAGCTGACCTCATTGTTTGCAAACATCTGACATGAAAAAGTGCATTCCTCTTGGGGTGAATCAGCTTTTATCTTAAGTTTCAAGGAGTGCACTCGTACTTCATGGGTCAGTGTTCTAGGGATCCGTCTCATTTCGGTTGCTTCCAAGCTACTGGCACCCATTCTGCTTCTTAGACTACCTTTGCACGTGAATTATATTATCTTGAAGTACAAGATTGTTTTTGTCCCGCCCGTGTATGCGTGAATCAGGTTCTCATGCTCTCCCAACTCCCCGGACACAGCCACACTTACCGCAGGCCCACTATCGTCGAATTCTTAGACATACGGACTCGGTTGATCAACATGCTCCACTAAGTTGCTTGCTAGAAAACGGGGTGCCAGAGAAGTATACCGCCATCTTACGCGCACTTTACCTTCATATCTCCGGCAGAGTGAGGGTATATGACAAGCTTTCCTCGTCTTTCGCTGCAATAGCGAACAAGGCTGTGTGTAACAAGGCTGTAACAAGGCTGCCTTATGTCCCTATTCCTTTTTAACTTTGCAATCGAAAACGTCCTATCGACCTATAGGAGGTTTCCAAATTTTCGGCCTAGACTTTCTACTGGGTGAGCGCGCGACCGACTTAGATCATGCTGATGACATCGCCTTACCTAATGACGAACTACAGAGCATATAACTCATTCTGAATCTGTTGGCGGTTGAAGCATCTAAATATAGCATGAACTTTGCTCTCTCGAAGTGCAAAATGCTGCTCCAGGATTGTCCCACATCCGCTTCTGTGCTCACCTTTGAAGGTGCACAACTTGAACGGGTAGATAGTTTCGTCTACCTTGGGAGCCGCGCTTCCGCTGACGGTACGATCAGAAAGTGAGTTTCTCCGCAACGCTAAAGCCCAATTAGTATTTGTCAGTCAGAAGCACTTTTAGCGTCGTCCAAACGTCTCCAACTCGATAAAGGGCCACGTTTACAATGCCTCCGTTCGGTCAGTGGTTTTGTATAGGTGCGAGTCTTGACCGATTCGCGTGGAGGAGATGCGCCTTCGACAGCGGTTGGTTGAGTAGGATCGCTCGTGTGTTATGGCAACACCGAGCTCACAGTGATGACGTCAGACGTCACGTCTTGGGGAATGCGAACGTTCCCTTCAATAGGCTGGTTTTGCTATGCCAGTTGAGATGGCTCGGTCACGTCCTACGCATGGCGCCTGAGAATCTACCGCACCGCGCTCTGTTCGTTCGTTCAAGACCGGGCTGGAAGCGATCGCGCAGTAATCAGCCTTCTACTTGGTGACAGCACATAAAACCACTGGCGTCACGTCCAGCCGCTATTGGATCCGTACACCTTCCTGGATCGGGACCAAAGGACGAAGTGTGTCAGTGGCTTAACACACTTGAAGGCATGGCCCGCAATCGATCAGTGAATGGACTGTGTACAGAATTGCATTGGTTCACACGTTTAATGCCCCAAACGCTGAAAAGGGCAAAAAAGGACAAATCGGCTTATGAAAAATAAACAAAAATGTTTCATTCTATCTTTTGATTCCCATGGCTAGCTGCGCACAGGAAGCGAAATGCGGAGAAACGGAGGTTAAAAAGAAACAAAGTTGTCTTCAGGCGTTGGGAAGCCATGGCAGTAGGTCGACGCCAATGGCGTGATCGCACCAAGCCTAGGTTCACGATTTAAGTGTTGTGTCAGGAAGGAAACCGCCGGTTACGTAAGTGCCAGGTGCTGACAAAGCCAAGCACGTTGTTATCATGCACCTGATGTCATAGCACATGCGGTCGTGTGTGCCTCAGCCAAGCCGCGCTGGTAAACCCTCTAGATGTCCACGAGAGTGAATATCAAAGAGGCGACGAGTAATTTAAGTGGTAAATACACTGCTTCCGGTTTCATCTACTAACTGAGGCCAATAATATGGTATATGTAGCACGGGTGCTAAATCATCACCGCTGTTGGTCTGTACATGTGTATGTGTGTTTATTTTCTCACACTTAGAGTGTTTTTACTGACATCCTCGGTTTGGCTGTGCTTGCTGTGAATGTTGGCACGTGGTATCTGTCTTTAGATTTATTTCTCGTGCCAAATAGTATAAACAAGAACTACCTTTACCCCGTTTAGCAGAATATGGCTATAAAATAAATGAAAGTTTACGTGAACATTTAAAAAGCTCGGGTTGTGAAATTCTTCTCAATAGTCATTAATCACAAAAGTGAAATCCGCCATGGGATGATTACACAAGCCAATAACAGAATTGCCTGCTCTGGTGGAGCTACTCCGCCTTGCAAGGTTCACTTATGAAAGCGGGCAAATCCCTCGATTTACCGGGTTTTCAGATTAAGTATAACAAATTGCGGTTTGTGCCATACAGGGAGACAACCAGTGATGACATCACAAAAATGCAGTGTGCAAAGTGATAGTGAGGCTTTCGGTGAATCAAATAAAAAATAAAGGTACCTTATTGTGCGTTTCTGCTCCAAAACGAGGGATGCCCAAACGGTCGATGGCCAACTGTTTTCGTGCAGGAAGCGGAGGGTAGAATTTGATGGCACTCCTACGGTCTAGTCCTTTGAGTACACCGACGGGAACTGTAACAAGACAATATCTTGCTATAAACTTCTGCATGGGCCGCCTCGATGAGGCTACGGAGCAATCGTTTTCTGTATAAGTCGAAGCATCGACAACAATCACGTCTTCGCTTTCCGTATGTTTGCATGCCTGTTCGGTGGAGCTGCGTTTCACCTGGGAGACTTTAGTCCAATCGATTCGACGAACAATGCATCTGCGGCGGATGTCCAGTCCAGTTGCCAAGAAGTTTACCATCTTGTCAAAGCCCTGCACGACTAACCTGTCTTCCCACTTATGCTCAATCCGACGGGCAACGGAAGGAACCGACGCATGTTGACTGAGATGAGCGCGCTTTCGACGTAACCAGTCGATGTAGAGCTGTTTGACCATATCTGAAGGATTCTCTGTGTCATACGCCAAGTCGGAAGCTGCATCTGCCTCATAGTGCGGCCCCAGTGGAATATCCAAAGGTAGGCGGTTGGGTGGATTGACATATGCGATGTACCGCGCAAAAAGAGTATCAAAGATCTTCCGCTCACGAAGACTCAGCGTTGGCGATGCACGTTTTCCTGCCTTGAACAGCAGATGCAAACAAACGTCCAGCGACCTACCACATAGCACAGATAGCACAAAATGTTAGTACGGCGAAAGGGGTTGGCATAGGAGTCTGTCATCATCAACCAGTCATGCATCGGTGTTATGTACCGCTGATTCGCTGCCGTACAATCGTAGCTTATGGGGTATAGCTCTATTAATAGAATCTAATGCAGGATACAAATACCAGAAACAAAGCACATACATCTGGGCAACAACGAATGCTTACAAACTGCCAGTCATTATGAGAAGATAAAGCAGCAATGGAAATCGTCTCTTGATGTTAGAAATGTCGTAAATTCATGAAGGCGGTTCTAACTATGCAATGCATGAACCAACTTCAGTGACCAGACGCCAATCGCTTGCAGCTCATTGTCATCAAGTAATGTTAAATATTTGTCGTAGAGGCTGAAGCAGCGTGAGATATCTGAATATGGGTAACGCAGAATATTCACACAGGGACGTTTTGCGACTAGATGGGTCAAACAGAGCAAAGCGACCCGCTGAGTTGAACGCGTTTTTTGAAGCCCAGAAACACAGAGGAAGTTGGCTTTTTGGTACGTTTGACGCTGCTCTGGTAGTCGTCGCGGGGTGGAAACGTGAGATATGGAGTTCTATCTTGACAGGGAATATGTTTGCCCTCTCTCACCGGGGCTCTCGTTCAACGGATGAACCGTGTACGCGAACGAAAGTCATCGGTTTTGCCAGTCGATGTTAAGCTAATACGTCTGTGGTTTGCACACAGGTTGTAGCCGTCCTACTTGAATATTGTCTCTATGATTAATTCGTCTCATTTTTTCGTACCGGTTAAAACCAATGAGTAGTCAGTACTTTGCACGGGTCTCACCTCCATTTTCGAATAGGACGCGTGAAAACGTAGATAGAATTCTAAAATGTCGATCAGGTTCGTGTTTCGCTATGTCATTCGCCAGCAGTGAACCCCGTTGGTGAAGTTTCAGCGCTTCCAGTCGAGGATACAGCAAAATGCTATGAGAGTGATCGAAAGAACTGGGCGGGATGCAGCCCTCTAGAGCAACCCCAGCAGTGAGCACACTCCTTTTGGTGCAATGTCGACGGTGCTCCATCCCTTGGGTTCTCGCTTCTAGCTGTTATTACGTCAATATGATTAGTGAAATGTTTGCTATTTCTACCGTCGAATTTTCATTCAGTATTCTACTCCATTTTCTCAGCTTCATCTTATTTTTTATCAACACAACCGCATTCCAGCGTTCAGGCTCTAGACAATTGACTAAACTAAATGAAGATGGTATCAATTGCTTACCCTTCAAATGAGACGGTATTAATTTAAAGCGTTATGAAGAAGATATCTGAGGACCTAATGCACCTTCCAACTGGCGAACATGAAGCTAAAATGCATGCTCACTACCTATGAAACCAAAATATGAAACATACGTCTTAATGGCTTGTGCCAGGGTCTGCTTCTGATCCAAACGCCTGATGTTCTTTTTGCATGTCATGAGAACGTGCACCAAACAACGATCCAACAGAAAGCTGGCCTCAGCTACTTCATTCAATCCGATTTCGTTTCCCGTCTCATTGTCACGCCACACTCCGATTTCTGGGCATTCCCAACCTCGATGTGGGCCCAAGACATCTCCAGGAGCGGTAACTGTAGGCATTTTCAGGCGACCTGCTAAAGTGAAAAGAGGCTGTATTTTCTGCGAGTCCACACACCCGTGAAGGTAACTTGCACCAAGATCGACCACACAACTGGGGCCTTGATCATCATCATTAGGTATACGGATAGTATGAATTCGACCGCCAATACGCCCCCGTGCCTCGAGCACAACCGTCTTCAATCCCTCTTTACTCAATATTTTCGCTGCTGTCAGGCCAGCAATGCCAGCTCCAAGAATGACCACATCATACAACTCACTGTCGAGCATGGCCGGGGAAACCTGGAAAAAGGAGAGATCGCGATTGCATCCTATTCAAAAGAAAGTGGAAGTGGAAACGTTTCTGCTCTATTGAACTACTTGTACCATGGTTTGATAAGATCCAACCACTTGCAATCCACTGTTCACATAGTCATCAAGCAAAAAACCGAAGGTCTTGTTGTCTACTGTGAGTTCATCGACTACTCGACACGAAACGACTTCAACAATCCAAAGAACACTTTCGATGTTCAGATACCGTAATATAAAAAGAAACATGGTACACACGAAATGGTTCTGTGTGGTGAAACCTACTGGGTCAGTTTCAATTTTTAAATACCATCGAAGCAAGGTCGATCATGCAATCTTCTGAACTAGCGCGAGTTTTCAAAAAAGTAGAATGATGCCTTCATATATTTGTTACTTATAGCTATTGAAAATAGCAAATGATTTGCTGCTAAGAAGAAAGAAAGACAGCAAAATTGAGATGTCATTGTCACAATAGTACTATGGGAACCTCCCACTAACTGACTGAGGATGGGTGCCCGCGCCATCGTCTTCCATGCAAAAAGAAAGTACAATGACGACTTCCCGCTCGATGTCAGAAAACCCGGCTAAATCGGGTTTACTAACTATGATCGAGACACTGAAAAGGAGGGGGCCCATTCGCATTGGTTTGCACCGCACAAGTTATCAACAATGAGCAAAGAGTCTGAAAATATGACAAAGGAGAGATCTGTCGGATAGATACGCTAGTGTTATAACTACTGAAGACTACTCATTGGTAGGGGGGTTTTGATGTAATTAACTGAGAGTTCGTCGCATCAGCTTCCAAATCAGGTAGTCGATCATATACCCGGAAAAACACTAGACTGCAGTTTCAACGTGTTTGGCATCATCATTAGTACGCATCCATCGGATTCGACAAATAAGATCTCTTATTCCTCCAAAGTTAGTTCAGTTCAGCTCAACTCAGCTAAACAACCTTGATCCCGATAAATGCTGTGAATTCAGTTGTCACGTCTCTTTATCGTGCATTCCATCCAATCTGGCATTGTCAGAGTGATGGTTGAAATAATTATTGGTTTGTCGACAAACGCGTTGCCTATCACTTCCAATGAGCATTGTTCAGTTTTGGAAAGACACATTTTGTACCCCCTCCCCAGATGACGTTTCAAATCTTTCGCAGAACACCATGGGATGTAATGAGAGATGTTTCAATTATTTAACGGTAGGTGTCCAGTTTGGCTTCCAAGCACCACTGACTGTGTCGCTGAACGAGGAGCATTCAGATCTGACCTACGGTTCCTTTCACAAGTGTTCAGTATAGATCAACTACCGACTCCAACAGATGACAGACTGTAAGCTCGTACGTCGAATGTTATAGAACACGTGTACATGCATTGTCCCTGACGATTATAGAGCGCCAGCCGGCGCTCAATGATTTGTTACCAACTGCCTTAAGCGAGGCAGCCCATGATCAAAAGGATACAAACCCGTCAATTCCAACCTGCGATTGGCCGTGGTCACATGTGTCTGTCACTGTGGCCTCCATAAGACAGCCACAGGACGCCTGCGCCTACAAAGGGTCCATGGGTGGTTTACGCTTCACCACCCACAGCTTCATCCACGCACCCCATATCCTGTGTAAACGCGAAGGAATAAGACCGGGAGGCATGTTGATGGGAGCTACAATCCTTAAAAATGCACAACAGCAGCATTCCAGTCTATCTATGTAGGGAATCATTCGTACAAAAGGCGGTGGCTGGACCGTAGTCCGCTCCACACTGGATGGAATTACTCTTGGAGTCAAACACGACAACGAAGATCGTGCACCACCGTCACCCCAGTCACGATTCAAAGTCCTCTAAAACCAGTAATCGAGGTGGAGGTTACTAGACAGGTAGGAAGATTGTCAACATTCACATCAAGCGCAGTCACATCAAAAATATCAAACAACCAACAAAGACTTTGTAGGAAATAATCACGAAAAATTGACACTGAATATGCAGCAAAATAATAGAACTGGGCAAATCTAATAGAGTGGAATATCTTTTATCCAGATTAAGAACACTTAGTTTAAGTGTAAGTCGGTGTAGCCCAAGTGCAGCGAAGTAGCATGATGTATGCAACATCAACCTTAACATGAGGCACCATACGAATACGGAAGAATATAAAAGCAAATAAACGCAAACCGGAGAGTGAATGTGCGACAGAATGACAGAAATGAGCGAAGAAAAACGTATGTATTCTGATCTATTATTAAGGTGATCTTGAGCGTAAATCTTGTGATATAAACCGACTAATCCCGAAAATGAAAGAGAAAAACGCGCAAGTGAATATGCGGAGGACAAAACGAACTGAGAGAGTAAAATAAAATAGGTCAGGTCAGATCTAGTGTAATGTGGAAAAAGCTAAATGTAAGTCACTCTAGCCCAACTGCAACATTCATATTTGGCAGCATTCGGTTCCGTAGTTGCCTGTCACTGCCGCAACTACAGAACAGCCAGAGGATGCCTGCGCCTACAGAGGTGCGCAACGCTGCGGTCGAAAAATATAAATTAACCATTTTAAATCTTCATAGTCTGCGTTTGGCAGACCTTAAGCAGATCCAAATGAGTCATTGCAATCACGCTCCCTAGCTGGACTTGCTCCCCACTGGCTTGTGAGTCAAACGCGCCGGGTGTAGCCCCTAAAGCGAACATTCATGTACCCCACTGCTTTGTGAGTCGGGCAGTAGTGCCGAAGGCAAGAGTTAGGGCACCTCCAACAATGGGCAGACGGAGACTGTCATCTGCCCTCTCGATCCCGTCGCCAACGGCACTTCGTGATTTTTCGACCCTTGCAACTCTCTTCTCAAGCAGCTGTTCACTGGTATCCAGTCAAGGAAAGTGCCTCCAGCATATTTTCTGAGATCGATATCTACACCGTACAAATTTTGAGCCACTGACTCAGTATCGCGAAGAGTGTCGTCACTTTCGATAGATTCAGAACCGGGGAGTAGAAGATTCCTCCCAACGATGCTATATACTGTATGCCCGTTTTAGAGGCACGGCACGTATCAATACCAAGATTGTGAGGAGTGTGACTTAGTGCTATCTGTTGGCCGGTCTGACTAAGTGCAGACATTCAGAGAAACAATGTGGAATAAGACCCTTGATTTGAATTAAGAGTTTTATACAGCTATGACAGCGGTTGCTAGGTCAGCGATACTTTCGTATTCAATAGATGAGAAGAGAATTGCAAGGGTTGAAAAAGAACACGAAGTGGCGTCTACGAAGGGGTCGAGAGGGCACATGGCAGTTTTCGGCTGCCCTTCGGCTCTACAATCTGACTCACAGGGCAGTGAGGTTCTCTTGAGGGGCCATACCCGGTGCGTTTGGCTAAACAGTCTGACGCATGAGTCGGCGGGTTAGGGGGAGCATCAAAGAATGGGTAAGTGAACCCTACATCGACCGGAAACCAACTTACTTCCAGAGATCTAGTGGGATATTCGCATTAGTTAATCAGAACAATGTTCTCAGACAACCCAACAATATTGTAGGTAGGTGAGGAATAGAACAGAAAAGAGAATACATAAACAAATAAAAATGAATCATGTTAGTATGCACCGTGTAATGGTCTTGTGATTAGTGGCCACTAAACTGGTGGTCGCCGTGTTTGAGATAATTAGAGGGACACAATGCAACCTTGAGGCCTGTAACAATGGAAGCAAGACCAGCTCGGAAGTGTGATTGCAGTCCTATTGAGATTTGTCACATGCAGTTTCTGAAGAGTTAAAACGATTCGCTTGTGTTTTTCGACCGTAGTATACTACGCAACTGGCGAGAGAGCCCATGTCTGGCTGAAACTTGTGGTAGCGAGATCCTAACAGATCGCTGACCTGCTACTGCTAATATTGTGCAGTGAACTCATGTCCTGGACGCCTCCTCGTGGCGACCTTCTAGTTAACAGTCATAACACAAATCCGCGTGAGTACATCGACTCGTGTGGCATTTCAGGAGCACATTTTGTCGAAGACTGACTGAAGACCCGAGTCGTTCTCATATTCAAGTATGGATGCTCTGGCAACACGCCAAGCCACACCCAACCCATGAAATACACCAATACTGATAAACTCATATTGCATCCGTAGTTGCGCAGTGGTGGGGAATGGCAAAAAGGGTCGTCTTATCTGCTGCGTACAGTGATGTGGATAAGCGAAAGCATACTATCACTGACGCCTCCCTTTTTTCTTCTTCCCCTACTCATTATCCTGCCCCAGCCTCCATTTTACTTGACTCACTACTTCCTCCAATCCATGTCACAACACGGTCGATTGCCCTGCGCAATTGTATACCTTCGAGCAAAACGCTCACCATCAAGTGTTGGAATGTGCGCATCTTACCTGATGGTAAGATGAATGAGCGAACCAAGCGGCGCACTGCACTGGTCAAAATGAAACTCGTGCGCTACTGCATTGACATTGCAGTAGTGAATGGGACCCGGTTTGCTGACCAAGGCAGGCTGCACGAGGATGGTGCTGGGTACACGTTTTACGTTATTGATCAGACCACATAGTTGGACTGTGCCTTGCACCGTCGAGGAATATACCAATTATTTATTTACTACGAAACGCCACCATAGCACCACGCGAACATGGTGTCGGATTTGCACTATCCGACCGCCTAAATGGCCATCAGGTGGAAGAGCCGACGATTGATGACACTTTGCCTACGCCTTGGACATTATGTGTTTGCAACTTTTATCAGCACGTATGGCCCCACCATGTATTATCCCGATGACACGAAGGATCAGTTTACACTCAGCTGTCGGTACTGAGTAGCGACCGGCTATTCCTACTGGGTGATTACAACGCGCGCGTTAAGTGTGATGTCGCTGCGTGGACAGACGTAATCGGGCCGTATGGTAGTGGCACAGTTAACTAGAACGGCGATCGTCACGCCGTGAGTGGCGTGACGACCACGAACATATCGTTTGCACTGTGTGAGCGTGATGTTGCTACTTGGGCG